GACGAGCTGGATGCTCCGTCGACGAAGATGGTCCATTTGTGTTCCTTCCTCGTGGGTGGGTCAGGAGTGGTCATTTCCGCGACAAAGTCGGCCAGGGCCTGCACTTTCAAGGCTTTCCTACTCTCGTACTGAATGTCGAATTCGGAGAGTTCCAAGGACCATTTCAACATCCTGCCTGCCATATCAGGCCGACCCAGGAGCTACCTCACCGGTTGGTCGGTTCGCACGATGATCGTGTGGGCTAGAAAATAGTGTCTGAGCCTCCTCGCCGCGTTGACGAGGGCTAGAGCCACCTTTTCTATCTGTTGGTATCTGCTTTCGGGTCCTTGCAGGGCTTTGCTCGTGAAGTAGACGGGTTTCTGTCCGTCGGTGGTCTCGCGGACGAGAGCCGTGCTGATGGCTTCGTTCGAGACGGCCAAGTACAAGTATAGTGGCTCCCCGTCGGCCGGTCGGGATAGTACGGGCGGTTGAGATAGACTTTGCTTTAGGTGACGAAGTGCCTGTTCGCACTCCTCGCTCCATTCGAAGGCTGCTTCCTTACGAAGGAGTTTGAAGAAGGGGAGGGCGTGCTGAGCGGACCTCGCGACGAAGCGGGATAACGACGTGAGCATGCCGTTCATGATCTGTATTGACTTCTTCGACGTTGGTGTCGGGAGATCGGAGAACGCGCGACACTTGTCGGGGTTGGCTTCAATTCCTCGTTCTGTTAAGTAGAATCCGAGGAATTTTCCTGCCTTGACCCCGAACGTACATTTCTCGGGGTTGAACCTCATTTTGCATTGTCTTGCTTGTGTGAAGACCGTCTTGAGATGTGTTGCGTGGTCGGTGTCTGCTCGAGATTTGACGATCATGTCGTCCATATACACCTCGAGCATATCTCCAATCTATTTGTGGAAAACTTTGTTCATCATGCGTTGGTAAGTTGCACCGACATTTTTCAGTCCAAAGGGCATTACGTTGTAGTAATAGTTGCCCGAGCTGGTCATGAAAGTCGTGCAGTGTTTATCGCCCAGTGCCATCAGGATTTGGTTATAGCCCGAGTAGGCATCCATGAACGACAATGTTTTGTAGCCGGCCGAGTTGTCGACCAGCATGTCTATGTTGGGAAAAGGGAAAGCATCTTTCGGGCAAGCCCGGTTGAGATCGGTATAGTCAACACACATCCTCCATTTTCCATTATTCTTTTTAACGAGTACAACATTTGACAACCAGGTGGAGTACCGGGCTTCAGAAAAAAAATTTGCCTCTAGGAGGTCTTTTACAGCTTTTTCAGCAGCCTCCGTTTTTTCTGGAGATTGCCTACGCCTACGTTGTACTATGGCCCTCGCGGCTGGATCTATGGCGAGGTGGTGACAGGCGACCTCGGGGTCGAGTCCGGGCATTTCCGCGGCGCTCCAGGCGAACAGATCAGCATTCTCGCGCAAGCAGGCCTTGATTTGCTTCCTGGCCAAGTCGGGGAGGTCTTTGCCAATCTTCACTCCCTTGGTCGGGTCCGTGTCAAGGGGGACGAGCTCAAAATCCCCGTCCGGTATTGGTCGGAGTGGGATTTGCTCGCCGCTGGATGGCTCGTCCTGGTAGAAGCGAGTGTCCAGAGCTATGGAATCGACCTTTGGTGGAGCTTTCTGGACTTCTTCCTCGGGAGACTCTTTCTTGTCGGGCTCCTGTCGTGTCCTTTTGGCGGGTCTGGTCCCTATGTCGACAGTATCACGTCCCTTAGAAGCGGCGTTGAAGCACCTGCGGGCAGCGGCTAGGTCTCCTTGGATAGTAGCTACTCGTGCCCTCTTGGTGTAGAACTTCATCTTCAGGTGGACGGTCGAGGGCACCGCTGTCAGCTCTGCCAGTGTCGGTCTCCCCAAGATGCAGTTGTACAGAGACGGGCAGTCGATGACTAGGAAGCGTACTTTGACTTGTCTTGTAGCCGTCCCTTCGCCGAACGTAACCAGAAGCTCGATATATCCCCAAGGTTTAGAGGTCGAGCCGTTGAAACCTTGTAAGTCCGACCCTACATACGGTGAGAGATGTGAGTCGTCCAGCTGTAGGGTTTGGAACAGTTGGTTGTACATGACGTCGACGGAACTCCCTTCGTCGACCAGGATGCGATGTACATCAAAATTGGCCATTCTTTCCCTTATCAGTAAGGGGATGACCGCGTTCGGGGCTCCGCCGGGGAGCTCTTCTAGGTAGAAGGTGATGGGCTCTGACCTGCCCTTCACCCTTTCGAACGTCACTGTTTGCGGGGGAGCCGCTTCGACCAGCTCGTCCAGCTTCCTCTTGACTGAATTGATAGTCAAGTCGTTGAACCCTCCGCCGTTGATGACCATGGAGGAGGGGAAATATTCCCACCTGCTGTGCGTTGTGAGCGGCTCCTGCAGGTGCTCGGGGAAGTCGAAGTCCTCGGGCCTGGTCACGGAGAAGGCGGTTTGGATAGGGACCGACTCGTCAGATGGTCGGGCATCCTCCTCCGGCTCTCTAGTTTCTTGGGCGTCACGACGGGGAGCATCGTTCCGCCGGTATTGCGCGAGCCTCCCTCCCTTGATGAGGGTTTCGATGGCGTCCTTGAGGTGGACGCAATCCTCAGTCAGATGACCATGGCTCCTATGGTACTGACAATATTTGTTCTTGTCTGCTCTGGGCTTGGCGGGAGCAGGTCGGGGACGTTTGACACCGCCGTCCTTGAAATCAGTGCTGGCACACTCCGCCAGAATGCGCTCGCGGGAAGCTGTGAGCGGAGTGTACTCGGTGAACCGCCCCGAAGGTCCTCTTTGTTCTAGGACTTCCCGGGGTCTGTCTTCCTTCCTTTTCTCCCCGGTTCGTCGAGGAGGGGCTTCTTGGCGCGAGCTGCTGCTGGGACCACGAGTCCTGGGATCTCGGGCTCTGTTGGCCGCTTCCCTCTCCTCGTAGTCCATGTATGCCCGAGCTTTTTCTAGGAGGGCATCGAATGTCCGAGGTGGCTCGATACCCACGGCCTTTCTGAATTCCGTGCCGGGGAGGAGCCCTCTCTCCAGCAAATATCTCTTCATATGGTCCGCACAGGGGACCTGTATTGCTTCCCGGTTGAAGCGGTTGATGAATTCCCTCAAGGTTTCATCCTGTCTTTGGATGATGGCCTCGAGAGCCGCCTCGGTCTTCGGATGCCGCCGAGAAGCTGTGAAGGAAGTGATGAACTGGTTCTTCAGGTTCCGCCACGAGGTGATTGAGCCCGGGGCGAGTCCTTTGTACCAGTCCATTACCGCCTTCTTGAGAGTCGTGGGGAATAGACGGCACTTGATGGGGCCCCCGACATTGTGATAATGAAGCATAGCCTCGAACCCGTCTATGTGGTCGACCGGGTCTGCGACTCCATCGTACTCCTTCAAGTGAGGGGGCTTCTCCATGCCTGGGGGGATGGGTGCTTCCATAATAGCCTGCGACAGGGGACCGCGGGGGTCGTCCTCATCGCTTCTCTCCGGAGACAGAGATGGGGACCTGTAATACTGTCTGGCACGACGGTCCAGGTCGTGCTGAGTCTCTCTCGAGCGGGATGCTCGGTGGTTGAATTTCACACGCCCATCTCCGGAGTGCCTTCTTTCTTGTCTCGCCGGGTCACGACTAGGTTCTCCGGCTTGAATGATGGGGGGCCTCTCCAGATGAGGCCGTTTCTCTTTTGGTCGGGGAGATTGGCTTCGAGAGGTCTCCCTGTAATGTCTCTGCGGGGGAGATAGGTGTCGAGCTTCAGTCACTCGAGGAGGGGGAGTATGGGGTCTCCGATGCCTCCTCGGGGGTCTTCGCTCGTTTTCAAGCGTCCTCAGTCTCTCTCCTTGGGCGAAGATGAGATGGTTCGTTTGATTAATCGCTGCGAACAGCGCTTGAGTTGTGGCATCCTCCCCGGCGGGGACGGGGACTTCCTGGAACCAGGCAGCTCTGTAGTGTGCGAGGGCCGCCGGGTCGTCTTCGAGTGGTGGAGGGACCGAGGAAGATGATGCAGTAGCTCCGTCCCTGTAGGTGGAAGTTCTGGGGGCGGTTGTCGCAGGAATGGTGTTATGGCCGGGGTTGCCGGCGTTATCAAGGTGTCCGTTTTTGTCCGCGATGCCGTTATTAGTGTCGACGACACGGACGTTCTGCTCATCGCGAGCTTGATCATCCATGACAGCGGTAGTTGAATTTAAGCTTTGGTCTTTGAGTTTTGTAAGACGGGGAAGCTAGTTCCCACAGACGGCGCCACTGATCTGACCTGATCAGACTTGGACCGTCACGGCTGGCTCCGAGCTGAAGTTTTGAACGAGGTGGGGGGGGGGGGGGTACCTGCAAGGCACTCCGATGCTGAAGTAAGTAGGAGCACGAGCAGGCAAAGTATGAGTATATGTGATAGAATGAATACCTGACCCTCTGGAAACAGAGGGTATTTATAGCCCCCAGCGCTGGGCCAAGGTTCCTTCATTGGGCCGGGCAGGTTTGGCCCAATGGAGGAACTTCCAGGTTCTACGTGCATAGTGGGGACCCGCACGTGGTCCCCTTCTTGGATGTCCTGCGTGAAGTTCGGGCGGACAAAGACGCGGTCTTTTCGGGATCCCGTTAAGAGTGCAGTGGACCGTGTCCGCTGTTGAAGGAGTGCTCGAGCTGAGGTCGAGCTGGATAGTACGAGGACGGGGATGTCGCCCCAATGACGTATGTCGGGCATAGCTATGGTCCTTAGGTCGGCGTGACCCCTAGCAAATCCGTTTGGATTGGACCTTTATCGTCGCTCTTGGGCCAGCCCGACCCAGTCCAGAACAAAAGTCGCACCAAAAAGTCCACCTATCTAGTCATTTCAATTTTCCGTCGTGCCAAATTCAATTTTTCTATCTCACTCTCTTTATATATAAAAAAAAAAATCAATATATTTTATTCTTTTTATACTTATGGTGTCTCATGATTAGTATAAATAGCTACTAAATAAATTTATACTTGATAACAAAATTCTCATAACATTAAGGATGAAAACTAAATATTTTATCTTCATGTTATTTCTTTCAGTAACAATTATGATTTCAACTGTGGCAATAAGCTCATCTAAATGTGAGAAACAACATATACACATAAATGGAACAAATCATTCCTTTCTTCTTAACTTTATTTAATAAGCATTTTTGTTTGTTTAATTTACAGTTGATGCAATCAAAGGCCATGGAAGAGAACATGGTGATGGCATAGATTGGGTTGGTTCGGGAACTTGGGGAGGTTGGGGAGGACCTAGAGAAGAAAGGGGAGAAGGACAAGAAGAACGTTCAGAAGGAGGAGAAAACGAAGAACCTGGAGAAGGAAATAGAGAAAGATATGAAGGAGAACGTGGTGAGATGGAATATGGAGATCCTAATGAAGAACCATGATAACTAGAAGCATGCATGTATTTGTGTAAAATAAATAATCACATATTATATTTTAATGGATATGCTTAATGTTTAATACGATGAACATCTTCCGCTTAGATTATTAGGATGTTTTTTTTTACCGATATCTTTATATTGTATATCACTTATATTATCCTATTTAAATGGGTGATGAATATACCGTTTGATATTATAATTAGTTTGTTCAACCAGAAACAATAATTACAATTATAGTATTAATTTTTTCATGTTATATAACTCAATAGAACTTAAATTACTAGAAAATGTATATAAATTATCTTCAAGTGTCAAAATAGATAACTTTGTCTCTACTTGATTCCTCGCTAAGCACCCACCACCCTTAGTGAGTATTTGAATTCAAATATTTGAAAAAACAAAAACTAATATAAAGAATCGAAATATTATTTTTACACTCAAGCTTATGATCCCACTTTTACATCAACATAATTAAATATAAAGCAATACAGTTGTAGAAATTAACATTAGGAAAAAATTTAAAGAAAGAGAAATGCGAGGTGCAATTTCACCTCTCTTTATATCTTGTATTAATTGAAGAACATTAAAACGACATTAGCTTGATGACGTATTTTAGCCTATGGCTAACAAATATCAAAAGGTATATGCCTATTAAAAAAAATACATACGCATCTTAAGTTGATAGGATGCAATCATGAAATTGTTTCAAGTCATTCAAAGTACATATTGATATTAAAGTATTTATAATATTTTTGGATGCAAATTATATATGCAATCATGAAATTGTTTCAAGTCATTCAAAGTACATATTGATAAGTATTTTTAACATTTTTGGATGCAAAGTATATATGCAATCATGAAATTGTTTCAAGTCATTCAAAGTACATATTGATATTAAATTATATATATATATATATATATATATATATATATATATATATATATATATATATATATATATATATATATATATATATATATATATATATATATATATATATATATATATATATATATATATATATATATATATATATATATATATATATATATATATATATATATATATATATATATATATATATATATATATATATATTCTGGACTAATTCGACAGTTTGAATGGGCCCGGTCTAAGACATTTTATTTGTTATGACCCGCACGACCATGACCCGGATTGTCCGCTACCCGTCGGACAATGTCAGCCATTTGCCCTCCCGAACAAGCACTGACCCATGATGATCGACGAGCACCCTCTCAGCTTGTCCGACATCAAAGTCGTGCAGGCCACTAGGAACCGACCAGAGAGATGTCCGTAACTGGCCTCCCCCTCGGAACCAACGACTAGTTACGGATACATCTGTCTGGTTTGACCAAGTCCTGACAATTACCTAATTTTACGGACCCGTATATCCAGGTGTGAAATCAGGAACCAATGGTCATGCGCCAGGGGCATTATATAAACCCTCACACCTGTGAGGGCCATGTATCGAATATTCATTATTCACCACCTAATACTTTGCTTGTATCTCCTTGTTCCCACTCTTACTTGATCTTCGGAGTGTCTTGCAGGTACAATCCCTTTTTTTCTCCTCTACATCACAGCCCGACTACAGATCATCTTCTAGCCACTTCTCAGGTTCTGATAAACTAGTAAGATCAGTGGCGCCGTCTGTGGGAATCTGCTCTCCCCTTCTTTCTTTCCTCGAAACTTAAAGATCAAAGCAAATTTTCTAGATTTCTCTCACTAATCATGGCCAACCATGATGATCTTCATCTGCCCGAAAAGACTATTCTTTCCCCTGCTCGCAAAACCGACGGAAGTCAGGAACATACTCACCTCGAGGACAACCTGGGTTTCTAGGACGGACAGACCGCGTCCCCAAATTCCACTGACGCCCAACGCGGTGACAAACGATTCTTGGACAAGGGACACCCCAAGAATTCCACCGAGGAACTGCCAGAAATCATGCAACTAGTTCCCATTCCTCTCAACACCGACCCAGTCATGGAAGCACTGCTTGCTGCTATCAATCAGACCAACATCCTAATCCTACAACAAAATCAAATGATAAGGGCCTGGGAGAACAGGTGATCAAGATCTCCTCCTCGGAGAACCCGACGATGAAACTCCTCAAGTATATCTCCGCCCAGGCGTGGCCTGCCGCCAAGAAAGGAGAGGCGCGACATTTATTTCTTCAAGAAACGCAATCGTACACCTCCTGCAAGAGACCAAGACTCCCTTTCATTCGAGAAGAGGAAAGACAACCAGTAAATCGACTGTGCTCAGCTGCCTTCACCCGAACCAAAGCAGAAATAGAGGAGCCCCTCCCCCGGACGAGACTGTGACAATCGATAGGGAAGAAACTATCACTCTCCTTCTCTGTCTCCCGCAAATAGTGAGGATGACGAGCCCCGTGGCCCGCTATCGAGGGAGATCACTGAGGCCCCACTACTTGTCGGACTGGAGAAGCCACCTCCATTGGGGACCTATGGTGGAACAACAAACTCTGACGAGCACATCGAGAACATTGATGATCTCCTCGATTACCGAGGAGTCAGGGGGGCCTTCAAATGCAGACTCTTCCCAACCACTCTCAGGAAGGGGGCGATGTCTTGGTACAAGAGCCTCCCCGATGAATTCATCACCTCATGGAAGCAGCTCGAGAGGATATTTTTGAGGCATTTCACCGCCTCTCATCGACACCCAAAATCGGAGGCTTCGCTCGAAGCAATCATCTAGGGCAGAGACGAGTCCCTATAGGCATACATTGAACACTTCAACAAGGAAGCGGTCCAAGTCTCAACGATCGACAACATGAAAAAATATCTCCTCGAGCACGGGCTCCGTCCCCGCAGCGACTTTGCAAAAGCTGTAGGCATTGAGACGTCGGCCACGCCCGACTCCCTCCTCCTCAAGGCCCGGGCGTACATACAGTACAAGGAGAAGGAAGAGGGCAACAATGCCAGGGAATATAGGCACAGATAGAGTGCCAAGTCCTCGAAGAATGAAGAACCCTCGATATCCCGTCAGGGAGAGAAGAAACGGGAGGACTAGTCTTGCGATTCCAAAGACTACAAGGGGCCAGCCGGTCGTTTCCATGACTACACCCCTCTGACTACATCAAGGGAGCGTATTCTTTCTGAATGTACCAATTCTTAGTTTAAGCAAGCCGAGGTGGGCTTTCCCCGACAAACACCATCCAAACCAGGAACCGACAAGAGCAAATATTGTAGGTTCTACAAGAGCCACAAGCATAACAAAGAAGATTGCATTCATCTCAAGGATGCAATCAAAATACTGATCAGAGACGGGAACCTCAAGCAGTATAAAAAGAAGGAGGGTGCCCGCGAGGAAGCACCAGAAACCAAAAACATCGAGAAAGGGAATAAGTCCCCTGATCTCGACACCATTCAGGTTGCCATGAGCATCTCACGGCCGAAAGATTTCTATCATCCAGACATGGAGAAATTCCCCTTGTACTTCTCCTCCCACAGTCCTTGGGAATTCTTCCCCGCAGCCATGGTCATCTACGGCATAGGATTCAACAGGCACACAGTTGGATCAGTGAAGAGGAGATTCAACTAGCTCATCTAAACCAACTCAGATATGGACGCCACACTCTATAAATTCGCTCTCATCCCTTCGCCTTCTACAGAGAGGAATTGTCGGGCGGAGCCCTAAATTCGACCATCCCACTGCACGTGAGAGCTGGCATGGAAAATTTCGATGTGCGACGCATATTGGTCGACCAAGGCAGATCAGTAGACATCATGTACGCCCAGATGTTCACCACCTTGCAGCTGAACGAGAGCCATCTAACCCCTTACGTGGGATCTGATCTTCAGGTCTTCAATGGAGCCAGAACGAAACCTTGGGGATATGTTAAGCTGATGATCACATTCGAGAGAGGGGTAACATCCAGAGTCATCAAGACCCAATTCTTGGTGGTAAATTTCCCGTCTCTCTACCAGTGCATCTTCGGGAGACCCAATCTCGCCGAACTCATCGCGATCCCTTCTACCATGCATCTGAAGATGAAATACTACACCGTCGAAGGCTTGGTCTCCACCCTCCATGAGGACATCCAAGCAGCAAGAATGTGTTTCAAAGCTTCAGCCAAGGGCCCCAGTTCCATCAGCGTTCAACCTCAAACGACCACTAGAGCCACACTTCCCTCCAGCTCCGAGGAAGTCAAGCCTCTGCCGAGGGTTGATACCATTGACCTCGACAGTCGCTTCTCAAAGGAAGATTGTGTCGAGAAAAGAAGGAAAGGAAATGAGCTTATGGTCGAAGATGAATGGTTAACATCCTCTGCTGATCGCAACGAACTCTCAAGTCACACATGGCCCATCCCAGACGGCGACTTCGACCTAGTTCCCGTCGGAGAAGACCCCACCAAAGGAGTAAAGATCAGAGCAGACCTCCCTGACCTGGCAAAAAGGAAACTCAAAGCTTGCCTAAGGGGGAATGCCGATCTATTCGCCTGGAGTGCGGACGAGATACCCGGTTTAGATCCATAGGTCGCATGACATCACTTGACTATAGATCTTGCCCTCAAGGCGATTGTGCAGTGCAAAAGAAAGAAGTCGTCCGAGAAAGCAAAGGCTGCAAAACTAGCTGTAAAAGACCTCCAAGAGACACATTTTATTTCTGAAGCCCAGTACACAACCTGGATCTCAAATGTAGTTCTTCTGAAAAAATCTAATGGAAAATGGCGCATGCGTATTGATTATATTGATCTCAATCGAGTATTCTCGAAAGATGCTTATCCCCTCCCTAATATTGACAAACTGGTCGATAACTCGACCGATTTTAAATTGATATCATTCATGGATGCATACTCTAGTTATAACCAGATCCCAATGGCGAAAACAGAAAAAACATATACCACTTTCATGACCGAGTCAGACAACTATTACTATAATGCAATGCCCTTCGGCCTGAAAAACACGGGCGTTACATATCAACGCATGATGAACAAAGTTTTTCGCAACGAGAT